CCCGCCTTGGCAGTGTACGGCGGGCTCCCGGTTGGGTTAGGCTACCAGCACAGCCTAACCGCCACTATCCCTCACTCGTCCAAGTTACTGTGAAGAGAAGCTCTCTAGTCTTCTGCAGGGATACGGGGGCCAGGCAGGCAGGCAACCTAGGCAATCCCCCCTCATGCTTTGGCCGCTGCCTCTCACCTTTTAATTGGAGTGACATATTAAGTAGCTCAAATGGAGTTTGTTGTGAGGCTTCATTGATTTTATAGGGAGAATGATGGATTTGTATAATTGGTTTTGGGCAGTAGTTTGCTGAGTTGGTAGCTGCCATCAAGCCCACAGATCTCGAGTATGCAGTCTGCAGTATATGCAAAGCTTCTCTGTGCACATGGCTTCTTTTTTAATGTGATTTTATGCATAAGTCTTGTTTCATCAGTGTGGAAACTTTATGTAAGATTCCTCTGTGAATTGTTCAGTACACTTTGTTTATTGTAATCTTAAATCTATTTTTTACACAGAAAATATTTTTGTAATGCTCCAGGCATTTTTAGGAGCAAAATATCTCATAATCAGGCCTTAAAAAAAAACCCAAAACAAAAACAAACAAACAAAAAACTTCTTAAGGCACTGTGCAAGCAACATATAATCAGCATGTGGTAGTGTGACTTGCTAACTTAAAAATGAGATACCGAAAAGGAATCCGACAAACAACAAAGGATACTGACAAACTATCCGCAAGCTACGATATTAAATGGGCCTGGTAGAAATATTCCAGACACTTCCTGGGCGAGGTGAATGCTCTAAAAATAATAATAAAAAAAAAACTATTGTGAAACTAGTTTAAGAATTATTTCCACAGTGAATGTGTCGCAACTTTTGTTTCATGTTGTACAAATGGTCTTCTGGTCTTCCAGTCTTCCTTTGACCTATGCAAGAACATTTTCATGTTACATTTAGCACAACATGATTTCAATTTTTTAACCCAATTAATTTTTCTATTTTCAACATTGTCTGCTTTTTAAAAGTTGTCTGGAGGTGAGGTTTGGTGCTAGTGATATGTGTGTATCCTTCTGGTACACGATTGCTATTGCTGGTTGGTTGGTTTGTATATCAGCAAATTTTCAATGAAATATCAGGTGTACCAGCATAGGAATGCATTTTCAATGCACTTGAGCCAGGATCTGAACACTTACCTGGGAAAGAGGAAGACAGAGTTCAAAGTGAATCTGCAAATTTGAAATTGTAGTTAAATTTACCAGTTAACCAATTTATTTAACCCCTAAAGAGAGTAAAAAGCTAAAGGTAGGAAAAAAAACCAATTCTGCAGAATTTTCTCCTTACAGTGATAATAGTATTATTACATTATAGTTTAACAGATACTTTAGATAACAAAAACTACATTGTAGGTGTGATAGTCTACTTTCATGCAGGATTGACACAAGAGTATGAATGAACTTGGCGGTTTGAGAAAATGACTCAGAGATGAGTTCAAACTCCTTTCTCAGGTAGTTGTTTCCTTGTCAAGTACATAACATAGAAGCAGTTTATCTGTAAGGTTTCTTTTTGCTGTGTGGAGCAGTGCATCCTTGAGATCTGTGAATTTCACATACTGTATGAGCTGAAATTCAAAATAGTCCTTTTTAATTAATGAAAATAACAGCTCATATTACCAATTTTAAATAATAGCGTTAAATGTTAAGCTTTTCAAGAGACTTTATAAAGAATAACCATGTGTTATTTTAGTAGTAGAATTCAGCCTTTTGAAAACCATGGTTCCATATATGTGCATATGGTACATGTAAATGTGTGTATATATACATATTTATGTTTGTGCGCTTATTTTCTTACTTGTGAGGTAATAAAGCAGGATTATAATTTCCCATTAGATCGTATCAAAGACTTCTTTAATAATAAGAAGAAAAAAATATTTTTTTGTGCCTGATGGAAGTTGCTGGCATGTTTTCAAACAGATTCTCTAATGATCTTGCTTCACCATGGCAACCAATATGGAGGTGCTGGCTCAGCAGGTAGTGGAGACACAGCAGGTGGCTGAGGTGAGTGGCAGATGATATCACAACACTTGGCATATGAGCTTTTGAAAGGAAAAATGTACTGTTGCATTCTTGCTCTTTACAATTAATCATAAATGAAGTAGAAAATCCTTACAGACCAACATTTCCTTTGCACTCAGGGAAGTAAGAAACCAGCAGATATATGGTTTGTTCACCATATTTCATTCTGGTGGCTTCCATATTGGGGATGAAAGCAGGAAATCCACCCATGAACTTAAAAGAAAATTTGTCTCTGTTACTGGTTGTTATAATCTAAAAAAAGTAATGTAGCAACAGTTCTGGTCATTTGATCATTCATTTGATTATTTGGGTTATCTAGGGTTTCTATTTTCTTCAAATTATCACATAAATTCAGTATATTTGATAAGCAGTAGCTTGAAATATTGTTCTGGATTTACAATAGGGTGATTAAATCAAAGTTAATATTTTTTGCCTCCATTTATTGAGATAGAGATCACAAAACATACTTAAAGTGTATGATATTAAATCATATTTTGATGTATATTCACTGAAGCTTGGATGCTCAAGGCTAAAATGTCTAAATTGATTCATCAGCACTGAAATAGATTATTTTGGTCATCGTAGGTAACACATTTATCTCCTTCAGTTTGAAAGCTTTACTCAAAAGAAAAGTTGGATTTTTGTTTGATTAAAATTTTTATTTGACAGTATTCTTCAAAGTTGGTATGATTTACCATATCAACATATAATCAGAAGATTTTTTAAATAAAGGCTAAGTTGTCTATGAGATCTCCGAAGATAACACCAATTTTCAGACAACAGTTCATGCAATGTTTGGCCTGTTTAGCTCAACTATACCTTGCTATGAAAAGATTTGTTGGTCTCATGAAAAAGCTGCTTAAGTGAAGTAAATCTTTGTACCATTGCATTTTCAAAAATGAATTTTAAATTATTTGCAGCAATTTAATAAAAGTGCTAGTTTTCTACAATTCTACAAAAATCTACAATTATAATGATTGAAAAACAATCTGGACAAATGGGCTACTGCCGTATGCTGGAAATAACATCTGAGAGTAGTTTCAGAATTTCACTCTGAAAATTGACAAGCAGATTTTCACTCTAATTTGCTAATTGAACTATCAATATGGCAAGCTGCATTCTTTAAAAAAAATCCAGGAGATCTTGGAAATAAAAAAATATGGAAGTAGTGGCAAACCTTATGCTATTTAGTAGAACTTGAGTGCTATAATCACTTTTAAGACACATAAAATATGTGACATTTGTAATTCCTCGTGCAGGAAATGCACCGTGGTAACATAGTGTGATGATTGTATCTTGCCACTGGAGAGATCGCTCCATCCCAAGAGTGTATGAAGCTCTGTGATTTCTTCCTGTCCGGTGGGTAAATAGAGGGCTTCATCTCTTTATAGTGTTCAACTCCTCCTTAAATTATATGCCTCTCTGCTGCATAACACCATGAGAACTTTGTTCATGGAAAAACAGTGGAAAGCAGCATTGTCTTATTAAGAATTTATTTATGTTATGACAATGTTGTCTTTAAACTTTGAACTCTCTTAATGAATGGCTGAGTGCCTACTATTTGTGTCTTCAGACAGATACAGTTTTTAATACAGGTAAATACTAATTTTCTTGAAGTATACTAAAATTCTTTATTTGCACTCGCTCTTTCTTGAAGAAAATATAATGTAAAAATGTATCATTGGATTTAGAAATGAGAGAATTTTTCAAAATACATTTCATCAAGGGAAATTAAACAAAAGGAGAGAAGAGGTCATTAATTATACCCTGAATTTTAGGCTATGAATGTTAAGAGATCAGTTGCAGACAGGATCATTTAATGTAAATGTTGTTATGTTTAGCTATCACTATACTAGTTTTTCAAAATAATTGCCATATATGTTGTGCCTGGGTTTATTGAGAATCATGATGCCAAGCACCAACTCACTGGCATGCAAGTAGGCCATATGTTGTTTTTCTTTCATAAGCAATAGTTTGTCAGGTTTGGTTTTTTGTGCATGTATCACAAGTGTTACTGAGCACTGTACCGTATCACTATTTCTGTGCTTATTATTTTTTTAAAGGACTTCCTGAAATTGTCCCTATAATGGTTTCAGATGCTTCACTGCTTTTGCTCTTCAGCAAATTTTTGTTGTGTTTCTCCAACTGTATTTTTCTGAGCAGATTGGGTTAAAGAATTTCATTTTTAGTGTCTGCAGCTTACTTTACTTATGGTTCATGGCACTGGAAGACATAGAGCAGCTAGAGGATTTAGAGGGAAGTTCAACAATTCTTCCTCATCCAGAGTAGCTTTTGGAAAATAAAATTTTAATATTCAGGGAAAAAATACTAATGCTAATTTTCTCAAGAATTTCTTTAGTACTGTGAATATGCAATTTATCAGTTGTTCAGGTCCAGTCTTAGTATCAATTTAGACATAATTTGCATTGTTTAAGAAAGATGTATTTGTTTATGATGTATTCCTTATGCTATGTACTACTTTAAAAAAAATAAAATAAAAGTTTTTTTTTTTTTTTTTTTTTTTTTTTTTAAAGTAGATCTGTCACCATGAGGAGGAAAAAAGGATATTGCCTATTCCATGGATCAGGTCTGATGTTAGCTGAGTAGGAAGAAGTTGCTAGTTCTGTCTCCTTTCTGTTCCGTGACAGCCACAGAGTATTCCCAGTGCAGTCCTCCTCTCTTTCTGTCGGAAACTAGGGGGAGAGAGTCGCAGGAGATGTGTGCTGGTTGGAATCTCACTTGTGCCAGCTGCACCCCTGAAATTAGTTGCTCTCAGTTCCCCCAGTGCTCTGAGAAGAACCTGTCAAAACTTTCTGAAAGTCTCTTTTCCGTGGCACTGAAAAAATATTGGATATCTTTGCCACATACAGTATTTTCTTGATTCTTTAGATGTCTCTGACATGTTACATCATCCATAAACTAGTACCTCAGCAGGCTGAGTTAAGAAAGTTGGCAATTTGGGTGTAAAACCACATGAAGCACAGTGGGCTGAAAGATGAAAATTGAAACACTGCCTTTCTGATTGAATAACAGTTTTCATTTGGGTATAAGAGTTAAAGGTAGGGGAAAACAAGGCTATTTTGTATTCTTTTTACTATTACTAACAGTGGCTATATTCTCATATCTGGTTGGATTTCATGGTAAAATTTTGATGGTGAGCCTTCTCAGTTTATTTTTATTGCAAATAAAATTAATAATTATGTTACCTCTTGATTTATTCCTTTAATGAATATATTTTTTATAGAACACTTTCATAATCAATGTGGTTATCTAGAAATAAAATATTGTGACCCTGTGTGTGTGGGAGGGTTGGGCTAAATGATCTCCAAAGGTTCCTTCCAACCTTAATGATTCTATGGTTCCAAAGTATTGAAGATTTGGTTAATACATTTCTGATGTTGGTTAATAAATACATGCATTCAAACACATTTACAAACAGATAAATGTGTGGGTAAATAAAACACTATGGGTAAGTTTCAGTAAATTAGTGTGTATTTTGGCTATAGAGCTATGAGGAAATGTTGAATTTAAAAGAAGTGACAATCATGAAGTGTCTAGAGAAGCTTGGTTTCAAACTACCTGTGTTACACAAACATGCACACACATTCACAAGCATTTGTATGAGAAAATAATAATGTAATTGTGACTAAAATACAGAATTACTTTACTGAGAAAAATCCACCAAAAGTGCAATCATATAGTTAATATATGCATAATGATTAAAAAAAAAAAGAAACAGAAGAAGGCAAGTTTAATCATACCAACCTTAAAAATGCACCTAATTGCTAACTACTTGTTTTTAGGTTGCCGATGTAAAACGCAAGCAGTGTTTTGGCAGTAGATATACACATTTGTATAATTCCAGCGATTCGTGCAACTCTTCTGTGACACTTACTGCAAATAATAATCAATGAATTATTCTTACATTTTTATAACTTCAATGTGTGAAATTACTGCCAGTGATAATTGTTGGTTTCAGAGTCCAGGTGAATGATGTCCTCTGCTATCTGGTCCAAGGCAGGCAATTTTCCATGCCATAGCATGCCAGTTGTTCTCTGCTTCAGTTCTTATCATCCAGTGGGATACCAGAAGAGCTTTAGGCATGCTACATGAAATTGTTTTGTTCTCCCAATCTGCATGCTTATAACTACAGTTTGCAAAGTCCTAAAATGAAAATAGCAGTTGTATCCTCGTGGACTTTTAAGGGAATCACAATAGTTAGGCAGGAACAGTTTTTAATCTGAGCTAAATGAGTTGGTTATTTATGTGAGCCTGGAAACTACACTGGGAGAAAGATGTCAGGGTGTTTTTTTTTGTTTTAAGCCTTAAAGTTACTCTTTAATGTTGATTACTTTTTTTTTTCTTTTTTTCCTCCAGAATAAAAGTTAATGGCCCCTAATATAGCACAGTTGGTGTACGTTGAATTCCATAATCATTATACAATCACAGGCTTCTGCAAAGACATGCAAGGGAGGTCACAGTCATTCTTAAAGTGACATTTTCAATAAGTAATGTACCTGCAATAGGATAATAAGTACAATAAGTAATGCATACATTAAATTTTAAAAGGAACATTTTAAGAAGAATGATAGCTATTTGAACTAGTTTCTGTATTGTTTTCCTTTGAAAATTACTACAGTTACAGTAATTTCAAAATCTCATTAAAATGTCCTCTATTTATATTAAATATAATGTATACTCTAGCAAACATTGCTCCCTGAAAATATTAATATTAGAATATCAGAAATTCTTAGGTTATAAAATGCGAGTTCTGGTCCATTTTATATGTATTTTGTGATAGCATAATTGATGTTACATAAAATTAAGAGTGAAGACATTTGTAAATGTGCAGCATGTAGTGCTTGAGAAGGTTCCATCTTGAGGAGAGTATCAGGACCTAAAAAATACATCATTTCTCTTAGTTAAAGGTATATTTTGTACATTTTACATTTCTCACTAATGTATATGTGATTTTTATGGGA